AAGCATGTGCAGAACCACCATGCAGTTTAGGAGACAGAGTATCACTGGCCCCTTGCCACTCCATCTTCCCTCAACTCAGAGGTCACTGTCGCCCTGGGTTTTGTGAGCATCTTCCTTCAGTTTGACCATCTATGCGTATGTCCTAAACAACACACAGCTTAATGTCACCAGCTTTGAAGTTTATACAAATGGAAGCACATAACACATAGTGCTTCCCTGGTAGCTCAGTTGGTAAAGAATCCACCTGCAATGCAGGAGACCCTGGTTTGATTCCTGGGTCAGGAAGATCCCCAGGAGAAGGGAAAGGCTACCCACTCCAGTATTCTGGCCTGGAGAAGTCCATGGATAGTCCATGGGGTCATAAAGAGTCAGACACGACCGAATGGCTTTCACTTTTCACAGAACATGTATACATGTATCCTTTTTGGACTTGCTTTTTCATCAACACTATGTTGTGAGATTAATTTTCGGGATATTTACGGCTGCAGCCCGAGCTCTTAGAGGATCCTCTGCGTGAATCTGCCACATTGTGCACATTCTACTTATTTGGATGGGTAACCTGGTAATCGGGTGTGGGTCTGGTTCACCTGTTCCATGTTCTACGCTTAGAGACTTGAACATGGAATTGGCAATAACTTCAGTTCAGTTCAGTTCAGTTCAGTCTCTCAGTCGTGTCTGACTCTTTGCAACCCCAGGCTTCCCTGTCCATCACCAGCTCCCAGAGCTTGCTAAAACTCATGTCCATCGAATCAATGAGGCCATCCAACCATCTCTTCCTCTATTGTCCCCTTCTCAAACTGCCTTCAATCTTTCCCAACATCAGAGCCTTTTCCAATGAGTCAGTTTTCATTGGGTGGCCAAAGTATTGCAGTTTTAACTTCAGCATTAGTCCTTCCAATGAAAATTCAGGACTGATTTCCTTTAGGATTGACTGGTTTGATCTCCTTGCAGTCCAAGGGACTCTCAAGAGTCTTCTCCAACACCACAGTTCAAAAGCATCAATTCTTCGGTGTTCAGTTCTCTTCATGGCTCAACTCTCACATCCAAACATGACTACTGGAAAAACCAGTAGTTTTTTAACTACTTAAAGATTTTAAAATCTTTAACTAGATGGACCTTTGTCAGCAAAGTAATGTCTGTGCTTTTTAATATGCTGTCTGTATTGATCATATTTAATTTAATTTCGTGGCTGCAGTCATCATCTTCAGGGATTTTGTAGCCCCCCAAAATAGTCTCTCACCTTTTCCGTTGTTTCCCCATCTATTTGCCATGAAGTGATGAGACCAGATGCTATGATCTTAGTTTTTTGAACATTGAGGTTTAAGCCAACTTTTTCACTGTTTTGTAAACTGGTTGCTTTTTAAAACAGTGGGAAATTTGGTGACTCCTCATTCCTATCATCATTTGATGCTGTTTGACTTTTGATTTTTGCCAATCTACTGGATGTGCAGTGGCATCTCACTGAGATCTCAATTTGCTTTTTCCTGATTTCTAACCAAATTCAGCACATTTTCATTTATAAGATTTGGGGATATTTTGGGTGAGATGTCTCAAAGTCTTTGCTCAGTTTTTCTATTTAAGAGGAGCTCTTTGTGTAAGAAATCACTCCTTGGTTGGTTAAATACAATGAAAATCTCTTGTCTTAGTTTGTGGTTTATTCTTTTATTTAAAAATTCAATTTGAATTCAATTTGATTCAATAAATCAGAGTTCTTTGATTTTATGCAAACAAATTAATAAATCTTTTCTTTTGGGTTTGAACATTTTTGTGTCTTATTTTAAAAATCTTAATGTTTTCTAATAGTGTTAGAGTTTTGCATTCCTTAAGTCTTAAATCCACGTGAATTTTTATTTTTTTTTGCACGTAGTATAAGATAGGGATTCAATTTCATTTCTTTTCTGCCTGGACACCCAATTTTCCCAGCATGGTTTCTTGAAAAGCTCAATTTTTTTCCCTCTAATCTTCAATTATCTTCAACATTCAGACATGTCTATAAACTTGTGGGTCTGTTTCTGGGGTGTATTCTGTTTTCCTGGTGTAATTTTTTTGCTCCTGAACAACGATCACTCACCCTAATTAAGCGTACAAAAGTCTAGTCAACTGAGAGGACAAGTCCGCCGCTTATGTCATTAGCTTCCAGGAACTCAGTGATCTCTGGCCCTTTGCATTTCCATATGTATTTCTGAATTAGTTTATCATATGTCATACCAAAAAATTAGAAAGATTTGTATTTGCACTGAATCAGTAAACTGGTTTTGGAGAGTTGGCATCTTTCTGTACTCAATCTTCCAATCCATGAAAACGCAATGCTATTTATTTAGATTTTCATTAACAACTCACAATAAAATTAACTAATTTCACCCCAAATGTAGACAGTTCTCCAAATTTTATCCACAAAGTCCTTGTACATCTTTTACTGTATTGCTTCTCCATCTCAGACATCCCTGCCCCATCTGCTGTCCAGCGTCTTGGAAGCCATCACTCCCTGTGTGTGGTCCTCTGTCACATTGCTCTTCAGATGAGACCTTCCTGTGACTCCGTGCCTGGGGAGAGGAAGCCTCTCAGCCACTCTTCCCTGCAGCGTCGTCTGTGGCTCCACCCCATCTGCCGCCACTGCTTACCACCAGTCTCATCAAAGGCCTGTTGTTCTCAGCAGTGATTTTCAAAGGACCAGCTTCTGACTTTCCTGACCCTCTCTTACTTCTTTCCTAGTTCATCAATTTATCTTTTTATCTCTATTATTGATTTCTTCATCTTATTGCTCTATACTGGGTTTATTTTGTTATTTCCTCCCCTAACTTCTAACAATGGATGCTCAAGTCATTAATCTTCAGCTTTTCTTTTATCCTCCTGAGGATTGCTTCAGTTGCATCCCACAGGTTTTCCCTCATAATATTTTTATTTTCATTAAGTTCTAAACATTTTCCAAGTCTCATGGGAATTCCCTGGCAGTCCAGTGGTTAGGACTCAGGGCTCTCACTGCTGAGAGCTGGGGTTCCATGCCTGGTCAGGGAACTAAAATCCTAAAAGTCATGTGGTGTGACCTAAATAAATAGATATTTTCCAATTTGCATTATAGGCTTCCCAGGTGGTGCTAGTTGTAAAGAACCTGCCTGCCAGCACAGGAGACTTAAGATCCCTGGTTTCGGCAGGTTCGATCCCTGCGTTGGGAAGATCCCTCGGAGGAGTGCAGGGCAACCCACTCCAGTATTCCCTCCTGGAGAATACCATGGACAGAGGAGCCTGGTGGGATACAGCCTATAGGTTCACAAAGAGTCAGATATGACTGAAGTGACTTAGCATGAACGCATGCATGGATGTGCACACCTACTGTGCTCACTGCGGGCCCATCAGCCCCTAGCTGCAGGGCCGTGGAGCGCCGTCCGCTCTGATCAGAGCACAGCGAGCGTGTTTTCACTTTCCCTCTCTCCTACGTGGCCATCCCTTCTCCCACCCGGACCCCACCGTCCTTCAGAACTGTTCCACCCCCAGATCCCCAGTTCCGGAACCCCAGGCGCAGAGTCTCCCACTCTGCCTGGCACTTCCCGTCTGCTCCATCTCCCCAGGTCTTCTTCGTCCTGGAAGGACCCCTGTCCTCCTGGCGCCTCTACTTTGCTCTGTCCCCAGGCTCCCCTGAGCTGTCCCATGCCCTTCTGGACTGATTCGCAGGAAGGAGCCAGGTGGAGAAGGGCCCTGGGGCCCGGAGGGAGTCAACCAGTGCCGCCAGGCGGGGAGGAGCTGAGGGAGCACCAGCCAGGCTCCTGCTGCCACCTCTCTGACCACGTCCAGCCAGGAGCTGGAGGCAGGGCGTCCTTGGATGCAGTTCACACAGCGTCCACAGTGAGGGCACCACGTGGTGGGAAGAGGGAGGAGGGGGTCCTGAGGGTAAAGAGAGCAGCCCCCGTTCCTGTGAGCCCACCACCTCCTGCTCAGGAGAGAGCTTGCCCTGGGCCTCCATTTCCTTCACTCCCTCCATCCCTGGTCCAGGCAGCCTCTACCCCACCTGCCCTTTGAGACAAATGGCTCACGCTGACTCCCCTGGGACTGGAAGTGGATGACTTCCCTGCAGGCTGTTAAAATCAAATAGAATAAAGACCAGACCGGACAATCCCCTAAACAAACAAAACCATTTAAGCTGTGTGAGCAAAACTGAATTGAGCTTATTTCTGGAACATAAGCAAAATGTAGGTTATTTGTTGTAAATGCCTCTGGTAATGATCCAAGGAAGACTGAAGTCTTCTTCCTAAAATGGTAGAAGATGGTCGCTTTCGACCAGCCTAGAAGCCCCATTGTGAAAACCCACCTTGGATAAATAGCCGCCATCTTTTCACTCCAGAGGTCACGCTGTAACCTCCGCCTCGGGCTCTGCTCAGCTCTGTGCAAACTCTTCCTAAAGACTAGCTGATCTGGTTTCAGTTTTCCCTGTTTCTGGGTTTAGACAAGACCCAGGCCTTCCCTGGCAGCTGGCTCAAAGGTGTTCCAAGCCACTCCCTCGCTCCCTAGGACAAGCCCGTTCTCAGGTCTCCGTGAACCTTTTCCAGAATCTTCTCTGCCTTCTACGCCAGGTTTGCGCCATATTCCACCTGTTCAGGAGTACATGGCGGAGCCTCCCCTGCCCTTCTCCACAATCTCTCCTCTGGAAATCCCTAACCTCTGGCTTTGTAGTTGCGTCTGTTCTGATGACCTCAAACACCTCTCCCCTGGGATCAGCCACAGACCAGGTCCCCCCAGCGAGGCAGACGGCTGCCCACTAGCTGCAGGACTGTCTACAAACCAGGAAACAGAGAGAATTAGTGCCCGAGGGAGCCATCTCCTCCATCTGCCCGGAGGCGCCAGGAAGGGAAGAGTGACTAGGATCACCAAGAGGAAGCCAGTCTTCGGAGAGGAGTGTGTGAACCCCCACAGCACGCGGGGCAGGAGAGGAACAGGGCCCCAGCCCCGTGCTCTGCACTCCCCAGCACCCCGCCCATCAAGCACACTCCAGAGCTGGAGACGGCAGCATGTCCAGCTGCCCAGGGCACAGAGGCTGGAGAGGGGCCAAGATAGGTCTGGGGGCGGCTGGGGGCAGAACAGAGAACACGCAGAACAGAGAACACACAGCACAGAGGAGCTGCCCAGGATGGATCTGGACCTAACTTGCCTGACCAGACTCGGAATTTTATCTCTTGTTAGCTGTGTGACTTGTTAGGTCCCTTAACTTCTTCGTGCCTCAGTTTACTCATCTGTAAATTAGGACGGTGACCGTGAGGGTTAGATGAGCTAATGCATGTGAACAAGTCAGAGAGGACCCGGCACAAGAGAATGTACTATGTTTTAGCTGTAATCAGTTGATTTTTCCCCTTGTCAAAGCCTCAGCCTCTCAAAGGCAGCCTGTCCCAACCCTGCTGAGGTCTCTTTTCAATAGTCCCTGGCCACTCAATGTTTGCCACCCACCCATTCATACCACCATATATTTGATCAAACAGCCATCTATTTTATTGTCCAAACCAAAGCATTTCTGAGAGGAAACAGGGACAATTGACAAGTATGTCATGGAAACACTTTTGAGCTGAGACACCTGGACAGACAAGGTACCGCTGTCACCCCGCTGTCCCCCTCCCATGCCAGCTGCCAGCGCTCGGCATGGACCTGCCTCTATCTTGCCACCACCTCCTGCAAGCTAAAGAAATCTCATTTCATCTTATTAAGTAGTTAGAACTTAATCAATATAATACCTTCATTTGTAAATAGATAAGAAAGAAAGAGATGAGTTTCTAATAAAAATAGCTGCTCTTGACCATCCCTCCTTACCCCGCCTCCCTGCCTTGAGCTAACCTCCTGGGCTCCTTTTAGCTGAATCTCCTAATAACTGCATTCATATTTCAAATACAGTTCTTCTCTCTTGCCTTATAACCTCTGTTTTCAGTTTTATGCATCATCAGTTGACCTCTGACAATAGTAGGTGAAGATTTAGCTCATCACGCCCCTCCCTCACCAATCAAGGCACCAACATTTAATTTCTGTGACTCACATCATGGACGGATGCTCTGTGTCGTTCCCACCAAATACAAAAGACCTGGACTGACCTCCCTCACTAGAAAATGATGACACTGCCCCCTTCAGAGCACCTACCCTTTCTACCAGTAGCATCCTTGGGGTTAAAGACAACACAGTTCACATGTGGCTATAGGACTGTAATTAAGTCCTTGCACTTTGCCTCCAGGCTGCTTCTCAAATCTGAAATATTGAGAAAATGCACACGGCATGTTCACAGAGAGTTTTTTTTTTTCTCTAGAATTTCCATTTGCCTTTTCTTCCCTGTTAACCGTTAACACATCTTCATCATCTTATGTTTTCAAAATCTTCATCCATGAAAGGATTCTGTTGAGTCCCTGCCCACTTATTTTTCCCTGGAGGCAGGCTCCAGGGCTTCCCACCTTCCACTGCATCCGAACAGTGGCCCAGGATGCCCAAGGGGGCTCAACGTCCTGGGACCTGTCCTCTGATGTGACCCCCCGCCCCGCCCACAGTATGCCTGTGATCCTTCAGTCCCTCTTGATTCCTTTGTTTCACTGGAGAACATCCTCAAAGGTACAGAAAAGAGTGTACAGACACATTTCCAGAGGTGTTAATACTTGAATATTCTAGGAAGTGAGAGTTGATTGAAAATCCGCATGTTTCAGCAGTTTCTCTTTTCCACTTTCTGATATTGTGAGTGACCACACCCGGGAGCAGGGACCGGCCAGCAGCCCCGGGGCCAAACCTGGTGTGTCGCCTGTCTTGTGGGTCAGGCTTCACCGGAGCTTACCCACACCCACGTGTGGGCGTCCTGGGTAGGGTGGCTTTTCTCCGCGCAGGAGTTGTGACCATCTGCATGATCTGCAAGGCCTCAATACTGACCGTTTTGGCCCTGCCACAGAGCAGCACCAGGCGGAGAGCTCCCTGGATGAAGGGGGTGTCCCTATGCTGGGCCGTACGGAGCAGCACGTGCAATGTGCCCAGGCCACGGAGGAAGCAGATCTTGATTGTAGGTAACCCTAGTGTTAGTGTTATTCACTTAGCTGTGCCCAGCTCTTTGTGACCCCGTGGACTGTAGGCCTCCAGGCCCCTCTGTCCATGGGATTCTCCAGGCAAGAATACTGGAGTGGGTTGCCATCTCCTTCTCCAGGGGATCGTCCCAACCTAAGGATCGAACCCAGGTTTCCTGCATTGCAGGTGGATTCTTTACTGTCTGAGCCACTGGAACCTTAATTAACTTTACTTTAAGCCCCATGTCTGGCTAGTGGCTTCCATGCTGGACAGCTCTTTGGCTGGTTGAGGCTGGAGTCAGGCCTTTGGGAACAGTGGGCCATGGTGTGGTCTGCATGGACACAGGCTCTGAGGCAGCTTCACCAGGATGTGGGAGCCCTCAAAGACAGGTGTGGACCCCTGTCACCACCCTGGATAACCTTCTCCTGCCCAACTAGGGGACAGACAGCTCTGTCCTCCTCCCACACTGTGTGGAGACTAAAGGCAGGAAACCTGGGGTTTTCCTCTTCCTACCACTGCTGCTTTAGGGTTGAGGGTGGGGTGTAGTGCTGCCAGTCCAAAGCTCTGGGAAGAAGTTCTGTTTACCACTTGTTAGCACAGTGACCTGCGCAGGTCACTTCCTGTCCACCACCTGTTAGCACAGTGACCTTCACAGGCCACTTCTTTGACCTCTAGTGTCCATCTCACCAGATGGAGCAGCCTCCCTTGGGGCTCCAGGGAAGGCTGGGTAAACTGCTGGACCTACAGTGTCAGCACTTAATAAGTTCACAATAAACCAGGGGTTCCTGGGCTGCATTTCCCAGAAGTCCAGCCTGGTGTGAGGTCTGTTTACGTTGCTGTAAAACTCAAATTTAATAATGATGCTGGAGAAATGGTTTGTGAAGTGGAACTTAATAGATTCCTGAGTATATTTGATATGTAAGTGCGTGGTGGTCAGTATTCAGTTAAAGGGATGTGTCTTTCCAGCTTCCCTGATTATGAAAGGATGAAGCCCTCTATCTTCCTGTGCTGTTCCCTAACCACACTTGTTACCAGTGGCCTGGTGTCAGCATGCACACACATGCACACGCATGCACAACCACAGTCCACCCCCCTGGGGCTCTGCTGACAGTCCTCCAGGGAACCCCTCATCCCGTAGTACACACCTGCTTCCCTCAGGGTCCGAAGCTGGCCAAGCTGTGCTGAGGCTTATCCAGGGAGTCCCACCCACGACCCCCATTCCCTTTGTGTTTTTATGTCACTTGGGATGCGTGTAAAGGTAAGTGACAAGCATTTTGCTCTCCATTTCCAAGAAGAGGTGAAAAATGAATAAATAGATGGCAAAACTGACAAGGCATCTGTCCCTGGCGGGTTTGCCTGTAATTAAAAGTCACCCAGTTTGAGTTTCACCCAATGCAGCTGCCTGCCCCCTGAAACTTTTACAGAGCGCCTGAGTGCTAATGAGAGCACCAGTTAATTACTTGCAAAATGATTAAGAAATCATACTGGGACAATTGATGGGTCTCGGCAAGGGAGCCCATCAGACATCTCCCGGGCCTCCCATCCTGGGACCTCCTTGCTGGCTGGCAGTCTCATTCCTGAAGGGTGGCAGTGACATGGCTGGCAGCAGCAGGCTGGGGCTCCAGGCTCAGCCGTGGGGCATCAAAGCCCTGCAGAGGTCAAGACTACCTCCCCATCCCTGTAGGACCACCTCTGCTTATCCTGCTCCCAGCAAGTTCCAGGATTTCGAGAGGGCCCTGGCACCTTGCTACCCCTCGGCCGCTTCCTGGGAGGGTGACCCCTGCCACTCCCCACCAGCCCTCCCCACCAAGGCTATCTCCTGCTCTGCTGGGTAAGGACTGCTGTCAGGGGCTCTGGCAGTGGAACAAGGCTATTTCCTGGGCCTGCGCCTTGAGCCTGCTCACGGGGGTCAGAGAGCACAGCTCCGGGGAGGGTGCCGCCCAGACCTGCCCAGGAACGCCTGCTCACCCGCCCAGAGGCTGGGCTGCATCTGAGCTGTCCAGTGCCTGGAGGTGAGGGGGAAAGGTAAGGGTGGGGAGGGGGTGGCCCCTGAGAGGAGAGGGAGAGCAGGTGGGCTGTGGGCTTTGATTGCACCTGGGGCTCCGCAGAGCTTGCTTTATTCCCATCGCAGAGGGAGTGAGGGTCTTCCTGCTCCACTCGGCCCCGGCCCTGGTGGGGGGACTTGTCCTCACTCCCCGACAGCAAGGCTCAAAGCCAGGCTCCACGGATGGAGACTTCTGGCCACCCCACTTCTTCCTGAAGACTTTCTAGAGCGACCCTGAGAAGATGGAGTTAACAGCCACTCTGTACCCGCTCGCCGCATGCTGGGAGGGAGGTGGGTGGAGGGATCCCACCTTCTCCCAGGTGCCAGCCCTGTCCCTCCTTCGCCAGCTGCTCCTGCTGTCCTGCGAGGTGACAGGAGCATCCTCAGATCCAGGCTCTGGGCCAGCGGGGAAGAGCCGAACGGGTCTCAAGCTGCAAGTCAACGACTCTCAGCAGTTTCCTGGGAGACACTCGGCTCTGGGACACCACCAGCAATTCAGAAGAAAATTCAAAGCCACATGTGCACACGTGCACACACACACACACTCTCTCACACACTCACCTTTCTTTCTAATCAGCATCCCAGCCGACAAGCCCTGACGTGGGCTGATTTAAAACCTGCCCTGTTTGAAGCCATCGCTGCAGCAGTTTTCTTTGATTTTGCTTCTAATTATGAAGCCGCTCAGCGGGAGGCCTCCAGCTGTCCTGCTCGCCCTTCCCAGCTCTGAAAGTCTGTGGCTGTCACACGTCCCCACCCATGACTGCCACTCTGGGGCCCAGGGGACAGAGCGGGGGGGACTTGCCACAGGAAGCCCTCCAGCTGAGGGGAGCACGGTGACACCCCTCCTCCCTGAGCCCGGCTCTGTCCTACATCCCAGGCATATCCTCTAGTCTCCCTGAAAATCGCAGCAGGGCACGGCAGCCCTGCCTCTGGGGAGCTCTTGAGAGCTCTGGAAACGCCTGGCATGTGTCCCTCCTGTCCTGATTCAGGAGCTTACAGTTTGCAGAGTGTGTACCAGCCACGATTCCACTTCACCCTTGCAGCATCTCCACCTCGCACTGCGCAGGCAGGACACGGGGCACCAGGTCCAGAAGCTGCCAAATAATGAGCATACCTGAGCTGTTCGGGGTCCAGACTCAGGAGTCTCCCCTGCTTCCTGCCCTGCTGCCAAAGCTCTCACACCCACGAGCCCACTCCCCCAAGTTCAGGCTCCAGACCTCCTTTGCTGGGGCGGAAGGGAAAAGGGATAGGCATGTCAGGGGGAGGAAAGAAGGCTGCCCAAACAAGGTACTCCTGTATTTTTCTACAATTAACATTTAAATTTTTTTATTTTGAAGTCGTTATGGATTCATAGGAAGTTGCAAAGAGTACAGAGAAGTCCCACGTGCCCTTTCTTCAGTCCCCACCGATGGTCGTGTCCTGTGACACAGGCAGGATAATGAAGACATAGGGTACTCCATCACAGCCAGGAGCTGGACCCTGGAGCGACATGCCTGGAGCTGTTCAACACCTAATCACACGTGTCCCCCCGTGTGACCTCCTGGGGTCAGGCTACAGGATGGCTCCAGCTCCACAAAGCCCCCACCCCAACCCCCACGCTGACCCTTGGCAACCACTAATCTGTTTTTCCATCTCTGATTTTCAAGCATGTTATGTTCTTCATGCAGTATGTAACCTTTAGAGGTCGGTTTATTTTTACTCAGCAAAATGTCACTGGGATCCAGCCAAAGTGTGGTGTGCCTCAGTAGTTTGTGTCTCTTTATGAGTAGCGAATCGTGGAGTGGACCAGCCAGGCCAGAATTTGTTCCAAACCTTCTCTTACAGAGGGTCATTTTGGTTGTTTCCAGTTTGGGGCACTTACGAACAAAGCTGCTATAAACAACTGTATACAGGTATCTATATAGACCCAAGTTCTCAGTTCTCTGGGATAAATGTCCAAGAATGCAGTTTCTGGGTTGTGTGGTCTGTGTCTGATTGGATTTTTAGGAACTATACTGGCTTACATTCCCACCAGAAGCATCTGAGATTCAGTGGTCTCAACAGCATTTTATTCAGGTGTCCTCATCAGCATTAGGTACCGTGTGTGTGTACGTTGTGTATGTAATGCCAGCTGTCCTAACAGGTGCAGAGTGGTTTCTCCCTGTGGCCTTAATTTGCATCTCCCCAGTGGGGAGTGGCGTTGAACATCTTATGTCTTCCATCTGTGTACCCTTTTGATGCTGCTGATGCTATGTCTCTTCAGCTGTGTCCGACTCTTATGTGACCCTATGGACAACAGCCCACCAGTCTCCTCTGTCCATGGGATTCTCCAGGCAAGAGTACTGGAGTGGATTGCCATACCCTCCTCCAAGGGATCTTCCTGACCCAGGGATCGAACCTGCATCTCTTACATCTCCTACATTGGCAGGCGGGTTCTTTACCACTAACTTCACCTGGGAAGCCCATACACACTCTTGAGGGAATGGTTTCTTCACTTCCTTTGCCATTTTTTATTTGACGTGTTGGTTTGCTTAGTTAAACTTTGAGAGCTTTCTGTATATTTTAGAGAGTACTGTGTTAGATATGTGTTTTTGCTGCCATCCATAGCTTATCTTTTCATTCCCTTGACAACACTGTTTGCAGAGCACGAGTTTTTAGTTTTGATGAGATCCAGTTTTATTAATTTTTTTCTTTTATGGATCATATTTTCTGTGTCATGTCTAAGAACTCTTCACCAAGTAATAGGTCTGGGAAATTTTCTCCTAGGTGTTCTTCAAAAAGTCTCACAGTTTTACACTTTGCATTTGAATCTATAATCAACATCACTCATTATCAGAGAAATGCAAATCAAAACCACAATGAGGTACCATTACACACCAGTCAGGATGGCTGCTATCCAAAAGTCTACAAGCAATAAATGCTGGAGAGGGTGTGGAGAAAAGGGAACCCTCTTACATTGTTGGTGGGAATGCAAATTAGTACAGCCACTATGGAAAACAGTGTGGAGATTTCTTAAAAAGCTAGAAATAGAACTGCCATATGACCCAGCAATCCCACTTCTGGGCATACACACCGAGGAAACCAGATCTGAAAGAGACACGTGTACCCCAATGTTCATCGCAGCACTGTTTATAATAGCCAGGACATGGAAGCAACCTAGATGCCCATCAGCAGACGAATGGATGAGGAAGCTGTGGTACATATACACCATGGAATATTACTCAGCCATTAAAAAGAATTCATTTGAATCAGTTCTAATGAGATGGATGAAACTGGAGCCCATTATACAGAGCGAAGTAAGCCAGAAAGATAAAGACCATTACAGTATACTAACACATATATATGGAATTTAGAAAGATGGTAACGATAACCCTATGTGCAAAACAGAAAAAGAGACTCCTATGTATAGAACAGACTTGTGGACTCTGGGAGAAGGCGAGGGTGGGATGTTTCAAGAGAACAACATCGAAACACGTGTATTATCTAGGGTGAAACAGTTCACCAGCCCAGGTTGGGTGCATGAGACAAGTGCTCGGGCCTGGTGCACTGGGAAGACCCAGAGGGATCGGGTGGAGAGGGAGGTGGGAGGGGGGACCGGGATGGGGAATACATGTAAAAAAAAAAGATACACTATGGTTGTGAAAAAAATAAATAAATAAATAAAATGTAAAAAAAAAAAAAAAAAGAATCTATGATCATTTGGATTTGATTCTATGTAAGGTGTGAGGTATCGGTTGAGGGCTGTTTGTTTTTTATCTGTGGATATCCAAGTACTCTAGGACTATTGTTTAAGAAACTCTCCTTCCCCCATGGAATCGCTTTTGCTTTTTTGTCAAAAATCAGTTGAGTATATTTGAGAGGGTATATTTCTGGGTTTCCTGTTCTGTTCCACTAATCTGTGTCCCCTTCTTTACCAGTACCACACAGTCTTGTTTAAAACACAGTAAGTCTTGAAATCAGGTAGGCTGATTCCTCTGGTTCATTCTTCTCTTTCAAAATTGTTTCAGTTATTCTAGTTTATCAGACTTTGCATACAAATTTGAGAATGATCTTATTTATATCTATAGAAAAAACTTCCTGGGATTTTGATAGGAATTGTGCTAAACCTGCATATCAGTTTGGGGAAAATTAATGTCTTTAGTCTGTTGACTATTCCAATCCATGAACATGGTATTTGTCTCCATTTACTTAGATCTTTTAAATTTCCTTCATTAGCATTTGTGTGGCTTTCAGCATACAGTTTCTGTACATGTCGTTATTAGATTTACAACTACATTTTTTGAGTAATTATAAGTGGTTTTGTATTTTTAATCTCACTTTCCACATATTCACTGCTTGTATTTAAAATATATTTATTTTTGTATGTTGATCTTATAGCCTATGACCTTGCTAAACACACTTAGTAATTCTATGAGGTTTTCCCCTTTTTCTTCATGATCTTCTTTTATCCCTTTTAAAGTAGTAGAGTCCTTGGGATTCTATATTGACACTTTCATGTTATCTACATTTAGATCCAGTTTTGTTTCTTCCTTCCCAATGCATACAGCTTTCTGTTACTCTTACTTGTCTTATCTCTCTGGCTAGACCTCTAGTACCATGTTGACCAGCAGTAATGAGAGTGGACATCCTCATCTTATTTCCAGTATCAGGGGAGGAATACTCATTCTTCCACCACTAATTATGATGCTAACTGATGTAGATGTTAGATGAAAACCTCAGTTTCTTCCAGGGAAGACACAGCATCTGCTGGGAAAGCAAATGAAGGGCCTGCCTTAGGGTCAGGTAAGGAGGCCTGGAAGACACCTGGGCTTGGATCTGAGGGAGGAGTATCCAGCCAGAAGGGATCAAGTGAGGCAGCACATTGGTGAGGGTCCTCAGAGTCTTTGAAGGGCCCTGGGGTGGGAGAGAGTGCAGGGCAGGCAGGGAGATGGAGGGCAGCCAGCAAGGGAGGGTGTGGAAGGAGGGGAGCTTGACAGGTAGGTGAGGCTGGACTCTGCCTCCATCCGAGACCGCATTAAAGGTACAGTTTTATCCCAGGGACGGCGAGTGGGACGGAGCACACACAGCAGCGGTGAGATCAGCTCACAGGTCACTGCCATTTGCTAAAGGCAAAGGTGGCTCAGGACGTGGAAGTGAGCAGTGGGAAGAAGACTGGGTATAAAACCATTTAGGGGGTGAAGTCCACAAGCTGTGATGGATCAGAAGTTGGGGTGGCAGCTAGGGAGGTGCTGTGAGCCTGCTCTTTTGATCAGCGCCCTGTTTCCCGGGAAAGCGGCATGTTAACCGCAGTGAGGAGCTTCTGCACCCAGCACCCTCCTCATTCACAACACCCACACGCCGAGCCTCGAATAGCACAACACTCTGCAGTCTGGAGGGTTCTGGATGGCCATCGCCCCTGGCCATCCTGCTCATGCTCCTCGGGGGCCCCCGCAGCCAGGCCCCCTCACTGGCCCCAGCCCTTGACCTTTCAGGGAGCGGTTGTGCTCTCAGGGTTCCCAGGACCAGTTCCACTGGGGCAGGCTGCAGTGCCTCTCCCCGCACTGTCCCACGCCTGGCCTGGCCTCCCTCAGGTCTCCGGGTGTCCAACTGTGGATGCTCGTCCTCTCTGGATTACCTGGGTTCTTGCCTTCGGAGAAGCAGAAATCTTCAGGCATCTGTCGTTTGACGTGCGGTACAGGCTCCTGCGTGCTGCTGCTTTCATGCCTGTCTGCAGTGCGTCTGATGTCCCCAGGAGGTAAGCTCTGTCACGTTGTTCCTTTCTCAGCCCCCCCACAGACGCCACTAAGCTGCTACACCCGGCGACTGAGTTTTAGCTAAACTGGATCTCCTGGGATTGAAGTGTGTGGTTCTGTAGAGCATCAGGCCCAGAGAAGCAGAAGAAAGATGGCTAGCTGAACCCGGGTTGGTGGAGGAGGTGGGTGGGCTCCCTAAAGCCCGGGGCGGGGGTGCAGATGAAGGGAAGTGTGGGAACTGGCAAAATCAGAACCTGCCAGAATATGGTGGTGGCTGGGCGTCAGCGGGATCCAGGTGCGGTAATCAGAGGGAGGCTGGCGTGGGGGTGCTTACCTGGTGTTGGAGGTTGAGGCGGCAGACGGAGGGAGGCGAGGTGACTCAGACGCAGTGTGTTCCCTAGGCTGCTGGAGCTCAGAAGAGCTCAGAGGAGCGCCCGTGGGTTGGTGCTGAGTCTTGTTCTGCAGCGCTGGAACAGGGGCTCCCAGAAGCCGGGCTCAGCCCCTGGCCCTGCTGGTGCCGCTGCGGGGGGTGACTGTGCTCGGGTAATACCCCAAGGCCGGCAAAGAGCTCTGCAGTCCCTCGTCCCCACTGGCAGCAACAAAGAGCAGTCAGACGCCCAGGGCCTGGGGGTGGTGCTTGCCAATCCCAGCCCCAGGGTCACAGAGCAAAGCAGGAGAGTTTGGACTTGGAGCCAAGATAAACAGGGAAACCAGCTCTGCATTGACAGGAAGGGAACTGGGGCTAGTTGATAGCTCTTTTTTTTTTTTTTCTTTTTGCAGTGAATTAAAAACAAACACCCACATCTACCCACCCAAATTAATTTTTCCTCATTTTGCTCCAGATATTTAAAATACAAAGGAAATGAACAATTCTGATCAGGCTGAAGTCTCCTTCACCGTCCTCAAGCTCAGAGAAGAATTCCTCTCTCAGCCATGAGGATAAACTGCCGGCACTTTTGTTTATATTAATGCTGTGACGTATATATCAATGAAAAACCCATGCTATTGCCTTGGGGTTTTTAAAAAATCATAGAAGAGTGAATTATAAATCAAGACTTACTATGAAGTCATGGTAATTAACATTCTCTCCTGCTGTATGTATTCTGAAACATTTTTTTTCATTCAAAATGTGCCTTTGAAATCTAGCCACATCATTCATTGTGTCTGCAGTTTACTAAGATCTTGTAGCTATATCAGAATGTATTCAAATGGACCCCCTGACGTCCGGATTTATGCTTGACTTCCCCTGTTAGAAACAATGCCACAGTGAAAATTCCATGCATTTATCTCAGCACTCTTTCAGATTTCCATAAGATTCTATATTCGTCTAGGTAGGTTTGATGAGTCAGATGTTTGAACAGCTACATTTTTATTTGCTTAAATTTATTTTTAATCCGCATACAGTAACACTCACTCTTTGTGTCCAGTTTAGCAGATTTTGACAAGTCCTCATCACATTCAGGAGCCTATCAACCCCAAATTCCTGCTCCTGCTTCTCCATGGTCCACGGCTTGCCGCACCTCTACCCCGGGCAACCACGGGTCTCTTTATCCATGTACGTCTGCTTCTTCTCGAATGTCATATAAATGGAAAAGCAGAGTGTGTGGCATTTGGGGTTCGGCTTCCTTCACTAGCATCCTGCCTCTGGAACTCACCCCAGTGCTCAAGAGCATCCAGCTCATTCCTGCTTGGTCCTGAAGAGGACCCTGCAGTACAGAGGGACCCATTGTGTTTATTCCTCTACCCGAGAGAGGCTATTTGGGGATTTTTGGTGATGGCAATAAGCATTCACATATAGGTTTACATAGATTTAGTGAAAATATCGGCTTTCATTTCTCTAGGCGTAAGAGTGGGATTGCTGGGCCATACTACAAGTGTACACTTGACTACTTAGGGAAATATCAAATTGTGTTTCTGAAGTTGAGATGCTGCTGCACCACTTACACTCCCACCAGCGATGAATTCAGGACGCCAGGTGCTCTGCATCCTTGCGAGAACTTGATGTTGTTGGGTAAATATGGAGATCCAGCCAGTCCATACTGAAGGAGATCAGTCCTGGGTGTTCATTGGAACGACTGATGCTGAAGCTGAAACCCCAGTACTTTGGCCACCTCGTGCGAAGACTTGACTCATTGGAAAAGACCCTGATGCTGGGAGGGATTGGGGGCAGGAGGAGAAGGGGACGACAGAGGATGAGATGGCTGGATGGCATCACCGACTCGATGGACATGAGTTTGAGTAAACTCCAGCTGTTGGTGATGGACAGGGAGGCCTGGCGTGCTGCGATTCATGGGGTTGCAAAGAGCCAGACACGACTGAGAGACTGAACTGAACTGAACTGGACACATGCATACTAAGTCACTCAGTCATGCCCAGCTCTTAGCAACCCTATGGACTGTAGCCTGCCAGGCTCCTCTGTTGATAGGAGTCTCCAGGCAAGAATACTGGAATGGGTTGCCATGCCCTCCTCCAGGGGATCCTCCCGACCCAGGGATCAAATTCCTGTCTCTTACGCCTCGTGCACGGGCAGGCGGGATATTTACCACTGAGCCTCCAGGGAGGCCCTATGTACACTCACTTTAATAGATGTGTACTGTTTACTTAGGGTGATTTTAATTTGTATATCTCTACTGGTGACTAATGTTGAGTGTATTTTCTTCTGTTTATTTGTCACCAGTACATTTTCTTAGGTAAGATATTCATATCTCTGGCCCATTTTTATTGGTTTATTATTTTCTTCTTATTAAATTATGACAGTGCTTTATATGGGCCATGGTTGACTCCTAGCCTAACCCAAGGTCACAGAGGTTTTTCTCTTATGTTTCCTTATAGAAGTTTTAGACTTTGCAATCACTTTCATGTCTGCAGTCCATGTTGGGTTAATTTGGGGGTAACATGAGTTAAGGGTAAAGATTAAATTTTTGCATGGCTATTGTTTTAGCACCATTTGTAGAAATTCTCCATTGCCAAGGCGAATGCTTTTGCACTTTCTAAGACTCACTAGACTACATTTGTGTGGGTCAGTTTCTGGACTCTTCACTCTGCATCATGGTTCAATGTTTATAAGATGTTGTTTTCAGTATGTTATCCAGTTTTAGCAGAAAAGTTAGAAATAATTACCAAGCCCATCGTTACTGGAAGCAAAGGTCCCCTGAGTTTACCTGTTTTACCTATAATGGTCCGTCACACGTGGTCGTGTTCCAGGTGTTCACTGTCACAGATGCTAAGCAGCCAAGTGCCTGGTCCCCCGTGCATCCATCCGCCTGATGGGCGCCTTGGCCTCTGGTGCTCGGCGGGGCATTCCATCCCTGTTATCACCCACGTGGGGCTTTCACACGCCTGGAATCACAGTACGGGCATTGAGGGGTTAGAGGCCAGGAGTGCTAGGTGTAGGGGTGAGCCTGCGATCTGGGGTCAGCACGCATATGAAGGATTGCTCTGCACCTCACACAGCTTTCAAATGTCCCATCTGAGCATTCATGTTGGGGAACCTGTTTATGCAATTTAGTATCTAAATAAAAGTATTTTCGGTAGAAAGATTGGATATAAACTGAACGTTTATGTGGAACTTGCCAGTAATGCAACTACTCTGTAAATACAGCTTAGATCAGAGGGCATTTTATTCAGAACTTTACCAGAGTCCTTCACCATTTCAGCCAATCATGTCACCAAAGATGTTTGAGCAGTGCCACCATATTGGAGGCCCTCTGAAAATGTCAGCTCTGCGGACCACGAAGCCTCTCTCCCAGGCACCCACACAGCGCACCTGTACTAGTCCACGCTTACATCACTATTGACAGTGATCATACACACACATTCATGCCAGTGTTTTTACTTAGTCTTATTTCAGCATGTTGTATGCATAGGAAAGTGCAGACGTTATCCAGCTAAATATTTCAAATACAGACTTGCTCATTCTAAGAAAATAAAAGCATCTGACACCTTCATTGAGTCTCTCATTTCACTGTGCCTGAGCATGAATATATGGAATTACATACCATTCTATTGTAAATTCCTCTCCTTTTATTTCTATTTCACATTATAGTTAGGGCATTACATTGATTTAAAAAAATAATATGTGATGGTTAGGTTATAATGCCTATGATTTTCACGTCAAGAGAGTAGCGGGGTGTTATCCGGTATTTATAATGAGCAGGGCTTGCTGGGTCTGGAGGAGCAGAAGTAGAATTTCAGGCAAAAGGGCCGCCCACATGTTCACCCTCACTGGGCTCGCCGGGCTGCTGTCCACGGTGCTGAAACAGCGATGCTTCCCGCGGCACAGCAAGCCGCCTCCTTCCCAGAGTCCACATCCTCATTAGCCCTCGCACCGCTGTCTTTCTTTTATAATGCTTATGCGTGGTATCTATAGTTTAGTTTGCACGTCCCTAGTGCAAACATCACTATACATCATTCCCCGCTGTTAACCACTTGGGAATCCCCCTTGGTGACTTGAAGTTCACATCCTTTGTCCATTTTTCTATTGTATCATTTTTTTGTTGTTGTTCAGTTGTTAAGTCATGTTCAACTCTTTGTGACCCCAGGGGCTGCAGCACACCAGGCTTCTCTGTTCCTCACTGTCTCCCAGAGTTTGCTCAAATTCATGTCCATTGAGTCAAAGATGCTATCTAACCATCTCATTCTCTGCCACTCCCTTCTCCTTTTGCCTTCAATCTCTTCCCAGCATCAACATCTTTTCCAATGACTTAAGTCTTCACATCAGGCGGTTAAAGTATTACTTTATTCTTAATTGATTGCTGCAGGTTATTTACAAATCTGGATACTAGAGTTTTTCCCATGTGCTGAAAATTGTTCCATGCCTGCTGCTGCACTTCTATTATGTTTGTTGGTTTATTGGGTAGCAAAGTTTTTCATTTGTTGTAGTTACTTTCATCAATCTTTGCTTTGAGTATTGCTTTCTTTGGGTTTTGCCTAAGAAATTATTTCTTATTCTTGGGTTGTAATAAAAATATTATATAATTCTTTTAAGGAGTTTTAAAGACTT